CTTTGTGTATTATCTTTTTCCTCCTTTCTGTTCTACTGATATAATTTTATCTGTACTGCAAACGAGGAATTATGTGGAGCTTCCTTCTGACTGTGCTTTACATTTGGAAGCGAGATGCAGCTGATTTGAGAGGATGAAATAATTCTCTTGGCAGTTACATCTTGTCTCTGCACTTTAGCGTAGCCTCTCGTGCATTTTATTCCCTTTCTGCCTGATGACTAAATGCTCTTGTCTTTGCCTTCAGCAGGCTTTGTGGGAATGCTGGAAAAACCCCTTCTCCCTGTGCTTGGGTGAAATAATAAAACCAGCTATGGGAGCTTAGATTGTTTTCTGACCCAGCTTCTGCTGGGGAGTGGTGCCAGAGAGGAGAGGTCTCTGCAGGCTCCTGCATTAGGGAAGTGCAGCGCTGATGTGCTCTCCCTGCCTTGGCAGCTCTGCTTTCAAACGCAAACCACATGTCCTGTCTCATGCATGAGCTGCTTCCCCTGCCCAGAGCTCTGGGTTTCTTCTCAGCTTCTTCTTGAACTTTTAATAATTGTGAAAATAAAGGGAGGGTCTGTTTGTATTGTTTGTAGTAGGAAAGAGCAGTGCAAGATTTCATCTACTGCTGTTTGGATCCCTTGCTATTTTTGGTATTTGACCTCTGCAAAGAAGATTGTCAGAACTACAGGTCGTTTTCATTTTTATTACATGTTTCTACCCTCCTACTCTTATGTTAGTGATTAAATCTTTGAGAATGTGCTATTTTCCCCACATTTTTCACTGTATTTTTCAACGGAAAATTTGTATTTCTATATATTTTTGAGCTAACATTCCCTTTTGGAAAGGAGAACTATGCAACTTGGCAGCATCTTCTGTACACCACTCAAAGGAAAAGGGAAATAACTTATGATTTGCTGGTTTATCTTTTGAAAAATGTTCTGGATTGAAGAGGACTGATGAGCCTGTTGGCTTGAACCGAGGCTGTAACGTTTAGAATACTGCACAAACAGCACAGCAGTGTGTGCTGGGACAATATTGTTTACTTTGTTCAGATAGGTACTTGCTTTTCATTTCTCCACCATTGGAAGAGGCTGCTTTTGGCAGAGCTGTTTGCTTCTAGTCTTGCTGTGTGGTTGTTTCCACACTCCACCAGYGAAAAACACATAACAAAGGCATTTGAAAATCCTGTTCTGCCTCTTTGGCATCACTTCCACTTCGTGCCTTCTATTCTAAACATTGAGTTTATTTCTTTTTTAAAGGAGCCTTGTAGGATGCCCTGGAGGTCAAAATATTTTAGGTTATTTCAGAGAACTATATTTATTCTGAATTCCCAAGATGTAATGAGTTTTCAGTGTCCTTCTGTTTCTGGTAGTTGTGATATCCAGATGTGCAGGGGTTCCATGTAACTGTGAAGTTAACTCACAGAACACATCACGTGAGTGTAGTTCCAGAGGTGTGGATACAATAACGCAGAARTTTCAGGTTTAATTTGTAAAAGGTGGCTTTACCTGGCTCAGGAGGGTGCAGGTGTGGATGCAGCTGAAAGATTYAGCAGTTCCATGTAGGGAATGGTGATCCCTAAGGATGGAATTGCACCTCTGTTTCAAACACAAGGTGTTTGAGCAGAGCTAGACCCCTTTAGCGAGGTGCTCGTGTGTGTCATCCCAGTGGTGGTGGTTTCCTGGCACCTTGACATCACCTTTTGTTGGTGTTGAAGCTGTAGATCCAGTTCGTGGGCCACTGTGAGCTGGAGAAAGTGAAGAACCTGAATTTAATGAACTTCCTCACATTCTGAGCAAAGGAAAGGAGAGATTTTGGTCAGTGCCCTCTGTGAGTCCATCTGAGACTGGAGCAGTCTGMGAGCCAGCTGTCAGTGCCCTACAAAACCTTTGTGTCAGAGAGTTTGTCACTCAAGCATGAGCAGTTCTCCACTCTGAGAATCACAACTGGCTGTTGTGCTGTATCCAAAGCATGTCACGTTTCAAAGACACTGATTTTGCCAAAGGATTCTTTGGAAAACAGATACCTCTGTTGTTGAACTTAAGGAACTCAAAGTGCTTCAGCGACGAGGACCGTGTGCTTTGTAGGTGGCTGCAGTCCAGTGCTTGGTTATCTCCTATTGTGTTTGGAAGACCATTGTTTCCTATTTGTCTCATAAATTTAACACAGATCCTATTCCTGCCATTTAAACTTTCCCATCAAAATACAACAGTGACTTCCCCTTCTGAAAAGGAAGGGCTGGCAGCTACACCCTGAAGTTTGAGCATGAATTGTTTATATAACCTTCAATCACAATTTCATAATCGTCTGAAGACTTTCATACTAAGGCAGACATTTTACTGAGTTTTTAGCAAAAACCTGGCTGCCATCGAACTTTAAGGCTGCTTAGTTGTTGCAGTGGAAATAGAACTGAAAACTGAACCCTTCAGCTTCCAGATGATAGAAATTGCACTTCTGTCTGAAAACTTGAAGAGTTTTCTGGTATTTCAGAATAGCTGTACTTAAGCCATTTGGGACAAAAGCTTAAGAGTTGTCTTGGGCTAATTTTATTTCCCAGAAAATATTATTAAAACTGAATGAACCTGCTTTTGCAGTCTCTGGCTTTTTACAACTTCTGGGTATTTGTAGAGTTTTCTTGCCCTCCCCAGCAGTAAAAGCTCTGACATGAGTGTTGTAGAAACTGCTTATTAAAAGATAYTCTCTATCATAGTCAGTAATATTTAAACAACTGCAGCTTGCCTTCCAAATGGATGACATTTGTCAGGAACATGTCTGTTTGAGTTTACTTGGCCTTTTGAGTAGACAAAGTCTGAATATTTAGAGCTTAAAATTCAGGTCAGCTTGGAAAACTACATTTCTCTTACAAAAAATTTACAGAGAGAACCTGACTTTTTTTAGTAACCATAGCACTACAGGAGAGCTGGTTTGTGAAAACTCCTTTCTCCACCCTCAAGCATGTGTGCTTGAAACTATTTAAATACAAGCCTCCRTTGTAATTCTTCACTAAATTGAATTAAGTAGTTTTCCTAATTAAAAATGTTAAAAATATTTTACTTGTTCAGTTTATATTGTTAATTTGCATGGAAGTGTAACAGTTCTGTGTTTAAGCAGCGTAGCAAACAGCATTTCAGAACAGTTGGCTTTATGTAATAGTTCTAGTAAAAGCTCGTTTCATTTGAGGACATACCCAGAAATGTAAGTAAGGAACAAGTTCTGTGGGTAGGTTGTACACAGGGTAATGCCAGAAAACACGCTGAACTTCTTTGCTTCAGAGGGRAAAGGAGTTTCCACAGGATGTCTGCATTTTATGGCAAAAATGACTTGTAGATGTGCTCTGAAAGGTTGCTTTGATGTAGAAGATTAACCTGGGGACCTCATTGTCAGGATATTACTGAGGCAAATCGCTTAGTGAGATTATTTGTGACTTGGGAATTAAGTTTTTATGTGTGCCTACTTAAGCTGTTTTTTAAGAATTTGCTCRTTTGTCACGTGGTGTCATGAATATTTGTGTGCACCAAAACAGAGGAGGGAAAGCAAATCCCTGAAACCACAAACAACACCAAGAAGAAAAAAAAGCAAAATGCAGCTTTGTCATAGCAACTTTTCCTTTGTTTTTGGTCTCYCATGGACAATTAAAATAATTATGATTAAAGCAAGTAATACATGGAAACTTGCACATTCCATCCCTAAAAATCCAGCTTGAAGAATTTGCAGAAAAATTGATGATAGGACAGCTGGGAAAGCATGAGAATATTTCTTGCATTCTGTGTCTGCCMGATTTTTGCTCCATTTTTGTTTGGATTTTTGTTTTTAGAGGGTCATTTCATGCATGTGGTACCTGGGATTGGCTGCTGGCASAGACTTTAAGGAAATACCAGTACCAGTGAGAAGTCACTGAAGTGTTGACCCCTTAAAACCTGATGTGATTCCCTCAATATTTGGGTTTTGATTCCTTTAAACACAGAATAGTGGTCTAATTGAACCTGTGTTTACCTGCATCTTCCTTTTAAAAAAGGCTGTAGTTTGTGAACCACTAAAACCATAGCAAATATCTCTTTAAAATGTAAATGCTGCTGTGCTTTTTCTGACTCTGAATTGATGGAATYTTTACTGCAGCTGCAGAATAGAATTTTCTGTTGTGTTATAGAAAGGAAAACTATGGTTTTCCTTTTTTTGGGGGTATATTTTAGAAGTGAATCTATGAGACAATCAGGAGAATTTTGTTTAATTTTGATTTTGCTGGGTAAAGTTTGCGCTTGTGTGCATTGCTGAAATAGTTTGGGTTTCTAGGTGGGTGCAGTAGTGCCAGAGAGGAATTGCCTCTGAAGGGAAGATTTTTATCAGCTGCACTAAAAGGCAGTGTTCTGTGGTTTTACAGGAGGCTCAGAAAACCTTGAGGTGTTTAATTGCAGTGAATTCTGCGTGTCACGTAGCCTGTTTAGGTGGTCCATGATATGCTGACAGGTGTTTCTGTGCATCATTGGGCACCTAAATACTTGTAAAATTACCTCTCCAGGCCATTTCAGGCTGCAGTCCTGCATCATTTTGGTCTTGTTCTCTGCCTCTCCTGTGCACGTCCCTCAGCACAGAAGTTCACTTAAGGAGTCTCCTGCAGTTGTACTGGTGCAGCTGTTTGTGGGCTGTGCTTCCTAGAACAAAACTTACTCCTCCTCAGGTAGAAGGGGTGACTTCATTTTGTTTCCACTTGTGGAGAACATCATGTTGCTTTATAAAAATAATAAAGCAAATTTAGCTAAATGACTCTCCCAGGATTCCCAGATAGACTGTTTAATCTGTTAAGGGGATTATCTGGTGTAGTGCTTACAGACAYGAGAGACTGAACTCCTTGGATCAGGGAGCCCTTTCCTGTTCTGTGTTCCCGTGAATGAAGCTGTGGTGGGGAAGACATCGGGATAATTGAATTTTAGCTCTGAGCGAGATGCTTTCTCATACATGTTTATAAAGCGAACAGTGTTTAAGAACATTGTAATTAAAACTCTCCTTGGATGTTATTACAGGTTTCTGGCAAGGCTGGGGAGAGCGTTGGAGATGACTGCAGTGGAGAAGGTGGAGGAGCAGCTGGCGGGTCTGCGCATCGCCAGGCGCTGTGTCCCCAGCGAGGAGCCCGCCTACCTGCTGGACATTGCCACCTCCACCCCTGCCCACCCCGCCAGCAGCCGCTTGGTGGCCGTTTCCTGTTCCAATAAATCAGTCAGGGTGTACAACAGGGACACACTGCACCTCCTGCGGGAGTACAGCGGCCACCCCGGCACCCTGAGCGGGGTCAGGTTTGCACACGCGTGTGACAGCGTGCTGTTCTCAGCCTGCAGCGAGGGCGCGGTGAAGTGCTGGGATGTTCGCTCGGCCACGCAGAAGCCTGTGCAGGTGTTCAGTGGCTATCCTTCCAAYGTCTTCATCAGCTTTGATGTCAGCTGTAGTGACCTCATCGTTTGTGCYGGAACAGAAAAAGCTGAAAAGGACACGTTTCTGGTGTTTTGGGATGCAAGAGGCATTACAGACTGTGCCAGCACCRCTAAAGAACCCCTGGGAGTCTATTCTGAAAGTCACAATGATGACATCACTAAAATCTGTTTTCATCCTATCGAACCCAATTTGGTAGTGTCTGGGTCAACCGATGGCTTGGTGAAYGTGTTTGACATCAACAAGGATAATGAGGATGATGCTTTGGTATCRACTTGCAATTCAGATTCATCAGTGAGCTCTCTTGGCTGGTCTGGGAAAGATTACAAACAGGTCTATTGTGTGACACACGATGAGGGGTTCTGCTGGTGGGACATGGCTCAGCTGGACACCGAAGAACCAATAACACTGCTGCATGTTCTGGATGCCAGAGAGTCAGTCTGTGCTGAAAACCACGGCCTGCATTACCTGGTGGGGGGCTTGTACCACGAAAAGGCAGGGAAACTCTTCCTGATTGGGGGAACCTCCACAGGAAACATCCACCTGATCAGCTGTGGCACCGATGGCCTGAGCCTGGTGGGGACCCTGAGTGAGGGACACTCAGCCACCGTCCGCTCCTTCTGCTGGAGCCCGACAGATGAGTCTCTGCTGACGGGTGGAGAGGATGCTCAGCTGTTGCTATGGAAACCTGGAGCTGTGGAAAGGTCCCTCACAAAGAAAGCATCTCTGAAGATCTCTTCTTCCGTGCAGAAGAGAGTAAGAGTTCACAACACCTCCCTCAAAAGCAGGAAAAAGTGAAATGCCTAAAGTGGGAATCTCTGCTGTGTAGAGTTTTCCTGGTGTTTAATCTCTCAGGCAGTACTTGGCCGTGTTTTATTTGGAGGTATTCTGTGGAAAGAACTGTGGTGCTTGAATTCCCCCTGGGAATGTATTTCAGTCATCAGAAGAATGCCTTTTATTTTTTTTAAAGTTGCTAATATTAATCAGAAAAGAGTAAACATTTGCTCCTGAGTTCTCGAACAACAGATGTGAAATCATATTATATAAAGCTGTTTCTGTGGTTATTTAATGTCTCAGACAATGTTTTAAATATGCAATACAGGCCTGTGGCTTGCATAGTTTGTTACCTTCCCAATGATATTCTCTGGCACATTTTAAAAGCTTTTGTATTCCACGCTGTATTTTGTTTTCTTTACAGAAAACTTAATGAAATTKCTCAATTTAGTAAAAGATTTTATGTCACATCTTAATGCCTGAAGGAATTACTTCTTGATGAAACAGAAAATAAGTGGTTTTGCACTGTCACATCACTGGTTTAGAACAAGCTCATAAAGAAGCAGCTGATAGAGCCATATTTTTCATAGCAGATATGAATGTATTCAACCAAACAGCAGCTAATTTGTATGAATATGAGAACTGTTAAACTGGCATTATTTCCTGCATGAAAATACCCCAGAATTTTGCAAGCTGCTTCATTCTGTCCTACTAAGTGCACCTGGAAGACTGGGGAGATCTTTGGTGGGTTGGAGGAATTGATGGGTGTAATTACAGCAGTGGTGCTCAAAATCCCAAACCCTGGCTTGAAAGAAAGTGGTATCACGTGCCAAGTGGGGATGCTAAAACCCAAAAATGAACACTGCCTTCAGGAACTGTGGARAAACAGACTGATGTGAGGAGACTTTAACAAGACCTTTTAGAGGTTGGCCTGTGTCTTTTAAGAAAYGTTTCTCTCTGCAGAGGTGTTTTGTGCTTGGACATCTCCCCAGGAGAGCTTTGTTTTATTATGCCACCAAATACCCATTGAGCAGTGCAAAAAACAGCCCTGTATCTGTGTGATGGGTGAGACTTTCTGCTTATTCTGCTTTGCTGGCAGACTCCAACCTGTGCTCCTGGTTCTACACACRCTCAYCTCCAGCCTTCCCAGGACAACTGCRGCCAAGGAGTGTTGGTATTTAGGGTGTTGTTACACATGCACTAAACTGAAACCAGCACCAGAGTATTTAAGAATTGTTCTTTTATAAATTAGCTGGCAAAAGATTTTAGAGAGGTTGGGTTATTTTTTTTCCCATGAAGGTGGATAGGTAATTCTTTCAGAACAAGTTCTGAACATCASGTTTAGAGGATTATCCTGGAGTTTAGAAACAGTTTCTGAAGTACAGAAGATACTCTAGTGTATGGTTACAGCTGTGCTGAAGATGCTGTAATCATCTCTGGAATTGAATCCTTTCCAACCACAAGTATTGAGTTTCCAGAGGATGTTTCTCAAATTGTTAATACCCTTTAGCCACAACTGTGAATCCATTGTTGGTTTGGGTTTGCCTGTTGATGATAAGTAAGATGATTCACTTGGTTTTGTTACTTGTTATTTAAAAGTGCAGCTTCTATTTAAAAATCACAGTTCTCTTCCCTTTTTTTTTTTTTTTTGCTACTTGTGTTAAATTCATGTTGCCCCCAACATCCTTATTTGTTGCTTTCCAAATCACATTGTGCTATTTTGAGATGAGGTGGGCAGTGAGTGTCAGGGCTACGATGCACCTGGATCATGTGCTCTCCAAATTTATTCTCCCAGGTCCCTGTTTTTGCCTATTGTATAACTGAGTGGATCAAGAGCTTCAGACCCCTCCAAATTCACAGTAAAACCCTCTTGGGCCTGACTTGGTTCAGTGCCAAATGGGGTTGGGGGACTGAGGGGTGATTCTGAGACCTGTGTCATTGCAGGTACGGTATGTAAGTCCCTTTTTAGGTGTTTATCCATTCTTTTCCTGGTATCTTGACACATTCAGTGGAGTAAAGTCATTGRGTCTGTGTCACGTTTGATTTCTTGAAGACAGGTTTGTGTGCACGTAGAGAAATGCACAGAGAGGGAGCTTGTGGTTGCCTCCACTTGCTTTCAAGTGTCTGCTGAGTGAAATTCCAGCGTGCTCTGCCAGCTGCCTCTGAATTAAAGCAGCAGAGGTGGGAGTTCTGGGACTGAACAGTTTGCAGTATGCAACCTGTGTCTGTTATCTTGTTGCTGAGTTAGATGGGTATCGATTTGTTCTGTATCAGTCACAGTTGGAGCCAYGATTTTCTCTGAGAAGCTGATTTCTCCCTTTTACGTGCATAACAGAAATAGCAGCGGAAGGGGAAAAATGTGTGTCTGTATCTTAAAATTCYGCAAAGGCACAGCAGCTGTCACGAGACTCAGGCTTGTGTTGCCTCTGAAAATACTCAATTTTGTTGTTTCTCTTTTTCTTTTGTATTGACTTAATTCCGGGTTAATACCCATAAAATAAACATAGATGGAAACCACATGTGAACAAGTAATTAGCACTGCTTGCTTCTGTAAGCTGCAAACACTATTTCATAGACCACAGAACACAGGCAGAATCCATGTGTGATCACATAAATAACAATAGACTGGAAATCAGGTTAACTTGTCTGACTGTATTTAATCTCTTAGGTTAATTTTGACACCTCTGGTTTATTGGTAATAAACTCCGAATCATGGAATCACAGAATGGTTGGGATTGGAAGGGACATTTAAAGGCCATTTAGTCCAACCCTCCTGCAAGGAGAAGGGATGTCTTCAGCTCAGCCAGGATGTTCAGAGCCTCATCCAACCTGCCTGTGAATGTTCCCAGGGATGGGGAACCTCCACCACCTCTCTGGGCAGTTTGTGCCATTGTAAGAAAATRTCTTCCTTGTATATGATCTGAATCTACCCTCTCAGTTTAACCCCCCCTTTTCCCCTTGTCATGCCCCAGCAGGATCTGCTTCTTGAGCTTGCCCAGGTCCCTCTGGATGGCCTCCTGTCCTTCAGGAGTGTCAACAGCACCACTTGSCTTGGTGTCATCAGCTGAGGCTGCCCTTGATCCACTGTCTGTGCCAATACTGAAGATRTTAAACGGTGCTGATCCCAGTACAGACCCCTGAGGGATCCCCTGAYCTCTCTCTGGACACTGAGCTGTTGATCACTACCTTCCAGTGCAGCCATCCAACCAATTCCTAATCTACTGAACACTCCATCAGCAAATTTATCTCTCCAATTCAGAAGGATGCARTAGGGGACTGTGTCAAAGGCCTTGCAGGAGGCCAGATCTGACCTTTATAAAACTTACGTAATTGAAACTATGTGCAAGTAGCTTTCGGAAATCATCACTGTGTGAATTGTTTAACCCCAGGGGAAGCTTTAATTCCGGAAGCAGTATCAGATTTGTTCCAGTAAGTGAAAAGCAGAAATCCAGATAAACTACTTAAATGCAAAAAACAGCATCCATCTTTATTCAGAGTTTATAGTAAACCTGTTGTACGATGTATCTGAGCAGCAGGAGATTATCCTGCTGTGAACACATGAAAATTAACTTACTTGCATTTGGCAYGTTCTGAAATTTACTCTTTGTTTCTTTTTCTTTTCTCTGTAATTAAAGTGCAGTACTTGCACTGTTTTTCAAGTGAAATACGTTTCAGGATGACATCCCATAGTCAGTGGATAACTTCAGCAATTACTTGAGTGTAGGATTTTACCCACATTTTGGGGTTGAGGTGGAAATAATTGGACGGATCTAAAGTTGTGAATTCATTTCTGGGTGGAATTTATTTAGCCAGTTGTCAGCCATGAGYTATTCTGTGGCCAGATTGTATATGGCACGTGTCCTACGTATTCAAACCACRTATCTACATTAAAATATCCCTTAGCAGAGAAGCTGATACAGTAAAACATTTTAAAGACAGCAAGTGCAAGCTTTCTGCTGTTTCAAATGACAGCTTTCTCTTGGCTCCTGACGTGCYGTGGCTCTGTAGGTCAGAGTGTTGTGTGAAGCAATGTCTTTTGCCATGGGAAGCGCTGACTCRGCCCCTGCACACTCCTGGAGCTGCATCTTGTGTTTTACAGRATCCTGGACTGGTTGGGGTTGGAAGGGACCTCTGGAGATCCTYTGGTSCAAACCCCTGCTCCAGCAGGTTCACATGGAGCAGGTTSCACAGGATTGTGTTCAGGCAGGGTTTGGATATCTCCAAGGAAGGACACTCCACAGCCTCTCTGGGCAGCCTCCTCCAGTGCTTTGCCACCCTCACAATAAATTTGTTTTTCCTCCTGTTCAAATGGAACTTCCTATGCAGGAGTTTCTGCCATTGCTCCTTSTCCTGAAAAGTGCCTGGTCCCATGCTTTTGACACCCACCCTTAAATATTTGTGTTTTGGGGTGAAGCACCTTTCTGTTGGGAGGGGGCTGGGTAGGGATGGGGTTAATGGCAATTCATCAGCAAAGCGTTTGTACTCCTGGAGGAGCTGACACACTTGCCCATCTCCTAAAGCTCGTCTGCATTTGCCATTGTTAATTTGGAGTTGCTTCTCTCCACCCCTTCAAAATGTTTTTCTGTTGTTTGGCTTCTTGATCTTTTTTTGGGCTGGGTAGCAGTGAGTTGTGTTGGCACCTTTTCTGGAGAGAGATGAGTCCTGTTCCTTTCCCCTGGGAGCTCTCCTGCCTTGTGCTTGGGCTGCTGCACTCTGCCCTTCCATGCCACACCAAATGGGGGCTGGGAGCAGAGAGAGGGGAGGAAAAAGGAGAGCTTGGCCCCAGCTGACCCTCTGACAGGGCCAGTCTCCAGGGAAGCTCTTTGATAAAGAGCTGGACCCTCTACCTTTGGAAATACATGCAAGGGCTTATTCTTGAGCTTGATGYAAGCAGGATAGGGCCTCCAATAAATTATGCAAGATATAAACACCCTTGAAGCATAAAAGCCAGTTCCTGTTTGTCTGTGAGATGAACAATTTGGCAGTGAAGCGTGTGAGAGGCAGAAGGTGTTCACTCGCCAGGGCTGGGTGTTCTTTACTTCCAGGAGGAGTGAGCAGAGTCACAGGTTGAGCCCCTGCTGCTCTCCCTGCTCTGCAGGAACCAATGGATTTGGGGATTCCATGGAAAAACAGGAGGGCAGGAGTTGGTGTGGGGATGCCAGCTAAAGGCAGCAATTCAGTCTGTGAACTTGCTACTGTCAGGTGACGATACAGTGCCCTGGTTCCTTATCAGTTATTTGCTGATAACTCATCAACCAGTTCTGAGAATCTTTGGTAACTTTTGGTTTCTGTTTCCTTTCCCTGCATCAGTTTTTAACCTGGCACGGGTATGTTGGCTGATGGAAGAGGGGTCACCTGCAGTTAGTGCCACTGCCTGCATGGCCTCAGCTTCCCGTCAGGGTATTTCAACATATGTGCTTCTTCCAATCTTCCTCCTCCTGCATTTGGATACTTTGAAAACTCTGTTTTGAAAGATATCTCCCTTTCTGGAAATGCAATGTCAGAAAATACTACTCTGTATGCTCTTCCTGCAATTTTGGCACCAATATTTTCAAGTGAATAGAATACATTTTCAATAGCAATTTCAGTCTTACTCTCTCGTGCTCTGACTAAATATTTGATGGTGCTCCAATCCCATAAAGGTGGTACTTGAGCAGCCTTTGGCTGCAGGAACCCAGAACCAGCAGTGAGAAATGYTGGGAGGAGTTCAGGAGAGCTCTTGTTGCTGATTTAAGTTATCATTTGGAGAAGTCTCCTAGAAGTGGGATAAAAGAAGGTCCAGTAACTCAAAATACACAGTAGGACACTGAAGAACTGTTGCATGCCAGGTRATATATTTGATATTACTGATTTGGAGAGTATATTCGATAAAACTAACTTCTAGAAACTGAGAGTCCACTTTTCTGGATGTTTTTAATACAGGAATTACTGGTTTTTAAAGGAATTGCATACCTGTAAGTACAATGTATGCCAGCCCTCTCTACTTCAGRTCCAGGTTAAAAAATACTGAATACACACAGAGCAGGCCAAASAGCTGGAAATGGCTTCCTTAACTTTTACAGGGACTTCTGGAGAGCAATGCCCGTAAACCATGGGCAGTGGTTCTGATTTATGTTTTTGATTCCAGTAATGCAGATACATGAAAAATGAAGGCAGAAAGGTAGACAGATACAGTGTTTATAACAGTGCCTTTGTTATTACGTGAGCTGATCACCATGGCTTGGAAAAACGGAGGCTGACACACTTYGCTTTTGGAAACTCGGACTTGTACGTGGAGATCTCAAATGTTGTTTTAGAAGTTTTTCCCTCAGGCGTTTAGACAATGCAGATTGCAGTGTTTTCTCGGGCATCATTTGAAGAAGGAAGGCTCGAGACTTCACTCTTACAATGATGATGATCAATTGGGATGGTGGTTGTGCTTCACACCCCAAAAATCAAAGATTAGCTGAGGCCAGCACTGGACAACCTAATGCTTATTAGCAAGGAATGAACATTTTATAAAACAACCTTGTTTTGATAAATGAAGACATAATGCTGTGTGGGTCAGAAGGACACCTCTAGATAGCAGCCCATGAACATGGCAGTAATAAATGTCTTGTGTAGCCTTTTASATGTGTGTGGTATTGGAGCCACAGGTAAATTAAATGATTGTTGGAATTACTTCCTTTGGCTGGGTTGAATTTATGAAGTCCTAACTGTTGCAAACAGGAGAAAGTATGAAGGCAATTCTGGAATGTAGTAATAGGAGCACACAGGCATCCCACCACATGCCAAGGAATGAATAGTGGTGCTTTGTTGAAACATTTTGGCTAAAATAAGCCCGAATCCTTATTTATTCTTAATAGTGTTATTATTTTAACATTTCTGTTGTGGTTTATTGCCAGGATGCCTAGACAGTGAGTGAGCTGTAACTCAGTTGTTCCGAGCGAGCTCAGGGCCATGTGCAGGGGGTGAGAGCTGCTCTTCCCTCTCTGTGCCCACCTGCCACCCAAGGCACTCCTGTCTCCCAGGTTTCACCCTGCTTTCATTTCAGATGTTCTGAATCTGCAGGTTTATTCTATTTCATTGAAGAATTTGCACCCATTTATTTTCTAAACTGCTAGAATGCCCCAAGACTGCATTTAAACGAGACATAGCTGAAGTATTTGTGGTTTCTTACAGGGGTGTGTATAAGAGCCATTTGCTGATTTATTATTAGGCACATATAATAGATTTATTAGCATGACAAAGTTAGCATGTCAAGAATTATTAATACAGCAGTTTTAACTGCCTTGTCGATACACTAAACACATACACACACAAAAATACCTGAGACTTGATTGCAGTTGAAAATTTCTGTAGGTGGGGGTGTTTTTGGAGAGTTTTGTTGATGCAACAATTCTGAAAAAGCTCCATAGTATCTTGTAAATGAAGAGCCAGTGTTTTCCAGATGGCTCTATAAATAAATTTGGTAGATGCAGAAATAAGTGAAGGTATTTCAAGAGCTCCCGGCGTGTTTTTGCACACAGTGCTACGGTRAGCTAATAGAGGAAATGAACTTCCTTTTGTTTGCAAAATACGAAACCGCTCCGGTTCTTGACGTTTTTTTGAACCCTGCTGGGTTATTTCAGCCACGGCCTGGATCCCTGATTTCCACCTGGACCATGTCAGGAATTCAGGGAGAAAGGCACAGTGAG